TTGGCGAGCTTGCGGGTAACCGAGGTCTTTCCGTGTTAAAAATATTACAGCATATTCAACAGACATTAGTGGGCAGATAAAGTGTATAGTTAAAATAATTTCTGGATAAAATGGCCTTCCAAAATCCGTTTAGATAATCAAATATTCTAAATAGCTTTTTTGCAAGATAGACAAAATGATCCAGGTAACGTAAATCTCGAGAATTCCCATTTTGTGAACTTGATCCTATAAATGCGATTGTTAACCTTCTACTTGCCGAATAAGATAAGAAAACAATTAATGACCATAAGTCTTCAAACCTGAATGCATTCTAGGTCTAAACAATCCAAGCAATGGGGATTATGACATAATTTTGGGCATACAAGGATTACAGACACAGTGCTGTATTACATAATCCTATAACTGCAGTTATCTTTTTGTAATCCAAGTAGAAGATAAACAGTAAATCTTTGAACGTGAATAGATCCCATGAATCCATCATTCAGAATAAAGCTCGGATTTAAGTCGCTAACGTAGCGATTATTGTGTGGAGGAGCCCAATCATACTAAAATAACATTGTTTTGTGGCTAGCTTGATAGAGGCATATCATCTAACAGTTTTGGTAGATTGTTTGGAAGAAGATATTTGAATAAATTTCCCCACACAATATCCCTGTTAATTAAAATTGGTCAACGAATTTACTATTCATTAATCTAGCCTATTTGCCTATCTCCAAATTGGTGTGAAACAACGCGCCGAAATAGTCACAATGTGCATTAAAAATCGTCGTTCAGTTGTGTTAACGCCACGTGTATATCGTCAAAAATATCGTGGCAAACAGGCACCGTCTGACAACACTATCCGTCGTTTGGTTTCGAATTTTCTTACCAAGAGGTTCCAATGAATTGGCTGAAGCAGACAAGAGACAGCGTTGCCCAGAACCCAAGTGTCGTGTCGCTACCGCGCTCAGCATTTTGGCATCAGTGGAACCACGTTGCGGCGCATTTTGAAGGATGATTTGCATTTGTTTCCTCATAAGGTGCAGTTAACACAAAATATTACCAACTGACCGTCCACGTCGCTTTGAATACGCCCAAACAGTCGCTCGCATGGTTGATGCCGAACCTGATTTTTGGAAGCAAATTGTGATGGCATACGCGGCCCATTTAACGCTCTCTGGTGGCGTTAATAAGCAAAACTGCTGCATTTGGGGGACGGAAAATCCACATGAGATCCACGAAATGCCGTTGCATGACCGGAAAGTGACTGTTTGGGCCGACGTTTGTGCCAAAACCATCATTGGGCCATCTTTCTTCAACTAAAACGAAACAGTCGATGGAAATCGATATCGGTGGATATTGGCTCATTATGTTCGCCCACAAATGTGTGAAAAAGGTCTTGATGGTTACTGGTTTTAATAAGACGTTGCGCCATGACAGACTGCAAATGAAACAATCCAATTTCTGCAACGAAAATTCCCTGGACGTCTGATGTCAAAAAGAGGTGACATTGACCGGCCACCCAGGTCTCCAGATTTGACCATACCGGACTTCTTGTTGTGGGGTTATTTGAAAAAGTCAAGTGTATTCCAGCAAGCCTCAGACCACTGAAGAACTCAAGGCAAACATTCGTACCGCAATCGCTGTTATACCACCAGAGATGCTCGAAAAAGTAATGAAAAAGGCAGCAAAACGGGCACATTTTGTTTTGGGCAATAAAGGTGGCCAGTTGATAGATGTTGTGTTCAAAAACTAGTCCCAATAAATTGTAAAGGACCATATTTAATAAAAATACCCGATATATAGAAATGTTTTTCGTTGGCGCACTCTATATATATATAATATCTAGAAGTTTTTCAAAGTTTTCGATACCCTATCTGTCCACTAATTTCTTTAGTGGCCTTGTTGCATGTGCTCTAATATTTTTGACAAAAGATACGTCTTTTGGGAACATACCCTGTAAAGCTGATTGACAAATATAAAAAATAACTTTAGAAAAAATAGTACAGTCTCAAAAGTAGCGATTTTCTAAAAATTCTTAAAAATGGCGTTGAATCAAAAACCGCGCACAATCGGATAAGGGCATATACGTAGTCATGCCATAAGTTCTGTCCCTCGTTTTCAAACAAGTGTAGACCTGTTAATACTTGTCCGATTGTTTACATTGTGGTGTCAGTTGATTAAGCGCTTTTCGGGTAATTACATATACCTCAGTTTGTATTGATCTCTCGAAGCATAACGATGGAGTGGGGCAAGGCAGAGAACCGTATTGCAGTGATAGCTTTACATAAGTGTAATCACAGTGCTAGTCAGATTTTTGAACTCTTACGCGGCCTTCAAATATCGCGTAAATTTGTGTCTAGGACCATTCAGCGGTACAATGAGACGTCCTCTGTTGATGACAGGCCAAGAAGTGGAAGACCTCGTCAAGTAAGGACTCCAGCAGCCATCAAAGCCGTAAAAGCCAGGATTCAAAGGAATCCACTCCGGAAGCAGAAGATCCTATCCAGGGAAATGAAGATTCCTGTCCGGACGATGTCGCGCATCATTAAACAAGACCTAGGGCTAGGGGCTTACCGGAGACGTACGGGCCAGCGACTTACGGCCACCTTGCGACACATCAGGGCGACAAGATCCAAGAAGCTCTTGGAGCGGTACGCAGCTGGGGGATTCCGAAAGATTTTGTTCACGGATGAGAAAATCTTCACCATAGAAGAAAAATTCAACCGACAAAATGACAAAGTGTATGCAAGGAGTTCACAGGAAGCTTCGGAGATCATTCCGAGAGTTGAGAGAGGCCACCACCCTGCGTCAGTCATGGTTTGGTGGAGGGTGTCCTACGAAGGGGTCACTCAGCTCCATTTCTGTAAACAGGGCGTGAAAACAAAAGCGGCAAACTATCAGAGCGACATACTGGATCCTATCGTCAAGCCTTTAAGTGGTACATTGTTTGCCAACCAACACTGGGTCTACCAGCAGGATTCCGCCCCCGCTCACAAGGCTAAGAGTACGCAGCGCTGGCTGGAAAGCAATGTGCCAGAGTTCATTGCTGCGGAAGATTGGCCCTCAGGGAGTCCGGACCTCAATCCTTTAGACTACAAGTTGTGGGACCTGCTAGAGCAGTTGGCCTGCTCCAAAGCCCACCGTAATATCGAGTCCCTGAAAGCGGATTTGATCCGATCAGCGGCAGCTATTCCTTTGGAAGCTGTGCGTGCAGTGATAGATGAGTGGACCGCGAGATTGAAGCAGTGTGTGAAGGCCAAGGGGGGACATTTTGAATAAAACTGTTTGATTATGAATTCTAAAAATGTTGTCGAATAAATAATATCTTTCATATAAATATATCTTATCTTGTTTCATTTTTATGATGAGATTATCATGGGACAGAACTTATGGCACGACTACGTATATGGTTTTTCTGATTGGAAATGACTCTCCTATCACCCCCCATCGTTTGATCCACGACTTTTGGGACACCCTGCATCAATATAGGAGAAACATAGCTGTGACAAACTCTCAGTAGATAATTTTTTAGACGCTGGTACATAGGTTGGCTATCTTCAGGTCAAATATGTTAATCAATGGTAATAGTAATTTCCAAAATCATTGTTGCTACGTTTTGACGTTCATCCAATTTTTTATAAAGAAGCTCCTCTGTAATCTCTTAAGCTGAATCTAACACTCTTCTCCTCCTCTAATGCGCAAGTTCTGCTCCTGACCTTAGCAAGATGCATAGAAGGAAGCATGTTGTTATATTGTTATTTTTTTTTGGAAATTAAAACCTTAGAGGCAAGAAGTAATAAAACATTGATACCTGGAATGTCATGTTATGTGAATAGTGAGGAAAAATCTAATCTAAAAGTTTTTGACCTAAAGAAAAGCTTAGACAAAGTTTTCTAATAGGACAGTATATTAAGCCATAGTTGCCTGTCAGCATAATAGAAATTAATTTAAGTCCAGTTCGAAAGAAGACGTTATTGAAACATGCCCTGACACTATCTTAACCAAAAATTACCTGTTGAAAAAAGTAGTCTAAAAACGGTATTTTGAGAGACTCAGTTAAAATAACAAACCTACCGTGCGGTAAATCACTAGCTAAAACATTAAAAATTTAAGAAAGTACTCAGTATTCGTTTGATAAGTTTCAAGTATTGCACTGCCACATGTTGCTTCTAAATTCTCTACAAAGTTATCATGCTTTGGTTCAAAAATGTCCTTAATTTGCAAAATTAGGATCTGTCTAGGTCTAGTGTGACACCTAGACGTTCTTACAAATGACCTTTGTATAACGTAAATAAATGTATGTGGATCAGAATGAAAATATCTAGGCAATCAATCTGAATACACCGTCGAGGTTTCAGTAACATTTTGAACACACCAATAAATGACATGAAATCAATAACTTTGCTATAAGAATGTGTCAATTTTAGTTATTTAATTATACAATTAGTAATTATACAGTTGTATGGGTATCCTGCACATTACACGGCTCCTGATTTGGATACTGATGCACGTTATATATTTTCACGTTGGATACAGGTCCAGACTGGCCAATTCAGTTTTTTTTTAGAACTCAATATTTTGATTAACTTGGGCTTTGGTTTACAGTTACTAGAAAATTTTGTTTAAACTCACATGAATTATACTCTATGTAAAGTCTCAACTTTGATATTGTTCCCATCATTGAGTTTGATACATTACCATTTAGACTTCTCACTGAAAGCAAACTTATGGAGTAATAGATTTTTGTTTTAAGGCCGTGTACTCTATAGTTTCGTTTGCTATTTTCAACATGTATTCTTTGGCTGAGATTTGTGATGTCAGACAAAATTATGTCAAACACCCTATTGTGAAAGTTAACTAAAACATAGGTATTTGCAGCTTTCTCTATTAACAGACTTTGATATGAACGATAATTGTATTTTTTTACTATCACGATACAGGTGCCTGAACTATTGCCACGCATGGCTGTAGAAGATGGTACTAGTTGCCCATTGGGCTGGCTCGATTCCACATGACCAATGGCTGAGGATAGTGATGGAGTACATGGTGAGCTGCTGACTACTGTACTGACTTGTGAAGGGGACCTCACAGACCCACAGTTCCCTTCACAATTGCAACTGGTAGTGAACAGTTTGAATGCTATTTTGGGTGATTCAGTAAGTATTCTACTCAAAACAATTTTGAAAATAAAACTCAGTGCTCTGGATCACATTAATGAGCGATAAGTTACTAAACCATTTAGCTCACTATTTTTATCAGTTTAATGTAGGATTTTGTTTTGGCGCATTTATCCCAGTCCATCCACTATAATAACTCACAAGCGAGAAAAAAACTAGGAAACAATTCTAGAAGGAGGGAAATCTGATGAAGCTGATACAAATAAGTCAGTTCTCTTTTTTGATTTATATCAGCTACATGTTCTGGCGACCCCAGATAGCTTCCACTAAGCTCCAACAACACTCATTCATGGTTGGGGATGTGGAGAAAATGGTATCGGAGTGTGGCTGCCTATAGGGGAATACAGGACACCAATGTTCGACGGGCATTCCGTTGCAAGGCATTTGTTCAATCAACTGCCTTTGTGAAGGGGGACGATACAATATACCTACAGCAAAATCATGCTGATCAATCCTTAATTTTACCCATAGCCGCTCTAAAAACGGAACTATGTTTAGCGTGACGTCATCATCAATGATCTCAGCACGTATATCTTGTCTAATATAAACACCACAACCACCACCACGAGACTACCTAATGCTCGTCGAACATTGGTGTCCTGTATTCCCCCATAAGCAGCCACACTCCGATACCATTTTCTCCACATCCCCAACCCTGAATGTTGTTGGAGCTTAGTGGAAGCTATCTGGGGTCGCCAGAACATGTAACTGATAAAAATCAAAAAAGAGAACTGACTTATTTGTAACAGCTTCATCAGATTTCCCTCCTTCTAGAATTGTTTCCTAGTTAAATTTTTCCTCACTTGTGAGTTATTATAGTGGGTGAACTGCGATAAATGAGCCAAAACAAAATCCTACATTAAACTAATAAAAAATAATGTACATATACAGGGTGACTTCGAAGTTGAGTCATTTATTTTAACAGTGAGTAGATCTGATCAAAAGAAATGTTTTTTCCTTTAACATTTTTCTGGTAAAATTAAAGTAACAAAGTTATAGCCCTTTAGAAGTTTGAGTACCGCCCTGTCTCAATAATAATATTATGTGCTCGTGTTTGGCAACAACGGATATAATCCGCGTTATCGGTTCATCGCATCGGAAACAAAAAAGCGAAAGAATTTGAAACGTTTATCACGATGTTTTTCGTCAGTCGGTAACGCGTGAGTGAATAGTGGTGTTTGTTGCGTGGCTCAAACGAAATAAAAAATAGCACATGTTTACGAAAATGCTGAACTTGTGGACATGATTCTTATTTACGGGGAGGGGAGTCTTTACAAAATGCTGCCGCGGCATCACGGATTTGTGCGAATCAGTTTCCCAATCGAGTGCAACCAACCCCTCGTGCCTTTGTTAATATAGTACAAAGGGCTCATGGATCAGGAGACTTAAGACCTTACAGGAGAGGGCCTGCCGGTGCTCCAAGACCGCACGATCAAATACAGGTCCGCACTGAAATACTTGTCGGGAGGATACTTTATAAAACAAGGTAACATTTTTTTTAATGTTTTTTTATTTTTACACACATATTTTGGTTTATCTTCCTTCTACAATCATTATCTGAAAATTAATGACTCAACTTCAAAGTCACCCTGTATACATATACAGGGTGGCCCATCCATGTGTGGACGAAATATTACTCATAAACAAATACATTTTCGAAAAATCTATTTATGGGATGTTATACATGACATTTGAGGGCACATTTCTAAAATATTGGCCATTATACAAAGTGTCCCAATTTCGACATATCAAAGTTGTGTGTTTACGGCTATTTTTGCGGTTATTAATTTATGGAACGGCTTAGTTCCCTAAAATATCGCATCATCCTTGGAAACAAATAAATTGTTGATTATTTGAATCAAGTGGAGCAGTGGAATATAGTAAAAAATGTATAAACAATCCAAGTGTCACCAATGAGGCGAATCAGTTGGAGGTTCTATTAAAGTTGCATTTAACTGCACGGCAAATTGGAGCAGAAACTGATATATGCAAAACTTCTGTCTAAAGGATTATTCACAAGCACAGGTACCATCCATATCACCTATGCTTGCATCCAGGCCTTCGTCCTCAGGATTTCGCAGCTCGAATGGAGTTTAGTAGAATAATGCTAAATAAAGTGAGTGAAGATACTACTTTCCTGGATAAGGTTCTTTTTAGCGGTTAGGCAAATTTTAACAGCATAGGTCATAGGTGTGGTCAACAGGCATTATTATATATTATGCGTCGGTAAACCATTACTGGGTTAGGCAAATAGATTTCCAAAATAAATGGAGCTTGAATGTTTGGGGAGGAGTTATTGACAGTCAAGTTATCGGGCCTTTCTTTTCCGACAACAGATTAACAGCTACAGCATACTTGAATTTTTTGATCGAGCATTTGCCTTTGCTTTTGGAGGATGTCAACCTGCAAACTTGGATGCATATGTACTTCCAACATGACGGCGCACCTGCGCATTATCATAATCGTGTGCGTAACTATTTGGACACCTGGAGTAACAATCGTTGTATCAGTCTTGATGGGCCTATATGTTGGCCTCCTAGATCACCAGATATGACACCAATGGACTTATCCAACATCTACCCCGTAAAATATGAAGGAAAGGATTCAGGATGCTTTTCTGAACATTATCCAAAGACTACGGCTGTATATTCAACATAGTGAAGATATTTTCGAGCAGTTTTTGTAGATTAGGTCTTGAGTAGTGATAGTTGTTTGTTTATGTTGTTGATATAGTTGTTTTTCTCAATTACGCTTGAAGATGATTTATACTGTTCTGATTGTTATTAGTTTTTACGTCAAATCTGTACTCTTAGTGGCAATATTGATCTAGCCCACTGTTGGTCTTTTGTATCCATGGATGATGTGATTTTTTTCCTTAATTTTGGTGTGTTGTTATCTTAAAAGCTTAATAGCTCAAAATCTAGTGATTTTATCTGAATCAAACCTTATACCAAAAAAGCTTATAAAAAATGTTATACAAAATTGCACAAATATACAGGATGAGGCATTTGAAATTTTTGAGAAAAAGTTTAATTCGCGTTTTTGACCACCCTGTATGAGCAAAAATGAAAAAGTAAGAAATATCATAAAAGCTGAGGTGTGTAAGTTTTTTTATACAAAATTCACCACTCCAAATTTCAAAATTGCGGATTGAGGGGTTGCCGAAGTGGACGGTTTTTCTGGACAAAGCACCTTACATCTCAGTAGCTAATTACCAAAACCCCATAGTATGTTATATCAATCTTCTTCTTTTGAATTGGTTTATCCAAATATGCAATAAAATTTGAGGCATTCCATTTACAAAATCACAACTTTGATATGTGGGTCAAAATTAGGACACCCTGTATAATTGCCAATATTTTAGAAATGTGCCTTCAAATGTCATGTATAACATGCCATAAATAGATTTTCTCAAAATGTATATGTTTATGAGTAATATTCCGTCCACACATGGATGGGCCACCCTCTATATATATAGATCATATGCATAAATACACTCTTACAACTTGAACTCGAGTTTTCGATGGTCTATGCCATCATCGTCTGGAGCTAAAACACAATCTTTGAAAAAAAGCAACAATAAACAATTAGGAGGAAAAAATTACTAAGTCGGCTATGTTTTTTTTAATTTTATCCACTGATTGATTTGGAAGAACTTGAAAATCTATCAACTATTGAAAAATCCTTTGGGGTTTCATCTTTCCTAATAACCCCCACATTATCCAACACGTGCCGGCCGACTGACACTCTACTGTGGCATATGAAGTGTGACATTGAAGTTTCGAACCGCTATCGAACCGTTACGTACCTGTAATGTGTGTTGCCTACTATGTAGGGAGTTCCGTAAAATAGTACAAGGGGGTGTGTTAGATGATAATCAATCACTTCTATTCCTGGATCATCCATCCATTATGCAAAACTTTGTCTTCTACCCAAATAAATTTAAGGATATTTTCTAACAGTTAAGGTAATTAACTGTTAGAAAAGGTAATTAACTATGAATACTATATATATATATATATACATGTTTTGTTTGATATCTGCTACTTAACAACTTTTTTTTTGCATGGGTGGTTAAGTGTGAGTAGTATGTTGCTAAACTTCGCCACCATTTGCAACTCTCGTTTCTCTGTATGAAATTGTACAGTTTAGGTAAAGACAATTATTATTATTATTATTATTATTATTATTATTATATGTGCCAAAGTTCCTTAATTAATTGTTTAAAATTTGTAAAACTAATGTAACTATGACATAATTTTGACAGACATAACCATAAAGCGTCTGATAACGACGAATCCTATACATACTTTGTAATCTCTCTTAGGATAATAAAATAATTTGTATTTGAATGTGCAATATTGCCGCAGAACTACCCTGGACCCAATTTCTATGCGAGTTGTGGAGGCAGCATATACAGTGTTATTAATTTATTTGAAAATAACGTTTTCTGTGCTGTTGGAAAAAGTGTTTGAACAAAGTGTATGTTTCGCAACACTATTGCTGCATTTTTTAAAAGAAAGATTAGTAAACATTATTGAGCATAAGTTTGGAATGGATTCCGCGAAAAATTCAACATGAATGCGAATTTTTGAATTAGTTTCCTCACCAACCGAGAGGTAGAAACACGGAAATGTGTAAACAAAGTTGTTGTGCTACACCACCATCAAATGAATGTAAGAAAAAATAATATCTTGAGAATAAAAATTACCAAGTATCTGATCCTAAACAAATGAGGATTTCTTTAATTTATATTATATGGAACTTATATGCTCATTATTAATCCTTTTTCCTTTAGGTGAAAGTCTGCAAACTGGAGCCCTGGAATTCGGTGCGTGTAACGCTGTCGATTCCTCGTGAAGCAGCGTTACGTCTTAGACAGCTAGCTGCCGAGGGATCTCAGCAGCTCAGAGCTCTTGGGATACTCAGCATACAGGTAGAAGGAGACCAGGTAGTCTCACTTAGATTAGCTTCAGGAGCGGGTGTTAATGCAGAGCCTCAGGAGATCATACTCAGGACGTCTCAAGGTAATAGTTATTTGATGTCATACTTGACAGCCATGATAACATACAACTGGGAATTTTGAGAATATCTATCAACGAAACCGGGAGTTCCTTGGATTTTGGGGACTTAGGGTGACATTTAGTTTTGGTGTTGAATCAAACTTTATGATTTCAATGCCCTATCAAATATTTGGGATATTAAATTTGTTTTATGTAAAAAACGACATTGCATTTAACCTGTTTGAATTCCTGTTTAACCTGTTAATTAGTAATTAGCGACGCCCCGCAAAATAGTCGATAGAATGCAAACAGAAATTGTAAACTTAATGTCAAAGCTCAAGATTTTTCGGTCCCGGTTATTCAGTCCGATTCAAATTCTAGTGAAATCCTTGGAGTTTCTGGACCGGGATTTCCCAGGACTACTCCCTGGTGTGTTTAAGTATCAGTTATTCAACTGAAGATCAAAAACCTTTGAATTAAGTGCCTTTGTGGTTTGTATTTTAATAATAAATAAATTTTAATTTTACATACAAAGACAAGCCAAAAAACTTTGAATGCTCATTTTTTTAACCTTAGTTGATACCAACGTTTCGGAACAAATTTACATTTGATTTTAGGTTTGGAGTTCTTTGAAAGAATGTTACTCATTTTTAGCGTACATTGCAAATAATGCCTGGCTGTTATCATGCGATTTTTCGCGGAAGTTCTAGTCATCTTTTGTCAGTGTCAACATTTTGTGGTTCAGTAGTTTATCTAAAAGTATTTTATTTTACATTAGATGTTCTTATAAGATTCCGCTGGCATTTTTTTAGACAATGCTTACATATTTTTGGAACAATCAACATGTTATGGGAGTAACTAAGGAAATGCGACTCCTTATAGAATGCTACCAGATAATTGTTTTTATAACTGAAATATACTTTCGTTGGCATTGACGACTAGGTTCACACACATACTGGGAGGTATCTTTTTTCAAAAAAGTTGATCCAATAGATGAACTATATATTTTACTTCCTACACCACTGACGAGGTAGTATTTTAATCGCGAAAATTTTCGAAAATGAGGTATGTCTTTTGAATGTTATATGACTTGTACTTCCATTGGTATCTCTGTCTGTAGGTTTGCCTGCCCGTCTGCTAATCTTTTACCCATGTAGAATTTGGAAAATACAGTTCGGATCTGATGAAATTTTCACATAAGGTTACTAGTATTCCCAGGAAGAAAAATCTTTCTATGTCTTGAAAGTCAGTCCAGTGACGGCGAAAAATGAAAAAATAAAAATGGCTTCAAGACCTTTTTTGACGTTTCAGAGGCTTCTGGTCATTTTCAGAAAAAAATGTAGGGGTTAAAACTTAGGGGTTCCAACTCCGGTAATTCTACGCCCTATTTGCACAAATTTCACATATCACAGATTTTCCCATACATTTGTCCTTAAAACGGAATGATGAATAAATATTTTCGACAAATGCGTGTTGGTACGCCTGCGTTGTGGTCTCACCAGAGTCTGTAATTCGTAGTTAGTGGTTGCTGCAGTAGTGCCGAGGCTGGCGAGCCGGGATGTACGGTCGGTAGGGCAGGGAAAAATGTCTATGGTCTTATTGTATGAACGTGTTTGACTAGCTTGATTTGTTTAACCTCATTGTTATAAATGTTCATAGTTGACATTTTCTCAAAGGAGCTAACTTGTGCCGAACATAAACCTTCATCGACAGGAGGCAGCGTTGCATGAGAGGTGCAGGTTCAACCTACTTGACGCCTCTTTTGTAGTTAAATGGTCAGTCTTACCAAAGGACTTCTCTATTAAACTGTCTAGAGAATACTAGTTTTCCACTAGAGATAGTCTGTCCCTGGCAAAACAAATGACAATCATGCAAGGCTTTGGTTGTTTATTACCCTGTCAAAAGCGATTATTTAAGAAAAAAATTCTATTGAAGCCCTTTAAGAGCTCTATATTTCCGTAGATAAGCCTCTTAGAACGTGGAATTAGCCATTTTTTTTGTGTTATGCATGCATGTGAGATTTGAAATTGTACTTCAGTGAAGTCGTCTTGCCACTTTCACAACAGCGCCTAACGTCTCAAAATATCTGAGAATGAGTATGGAATCAGTAATATGAATAATTTGTCGAATGTCGTACTAACAGAATTACCGAAATACTGGTAGATTCTAAGGAAAACTGTTTTTAATGAAGATATCAGAGAACGTTTTATACCTTATTCCATTATTTTGACTCAGCAGTTCTACTTCATTCCACATTTGTTTTTCAATGAATTCGTTGATTTAACTTTAACAACAGGCGACAGAAAGTTAGAGTACGAAAAGTGATGCACAGACTTGATAGCTCAGGGTACATTGGAGGAAAAACAATCTATAAATTGCCATTAGATTTGTATCAAGAGCTTACACTTTTCATTGTTTCTTACGACTTGTGGATATTTGTTTTGATATTTGATGCTCCAAGTAAAGAGATCATCGTGAAAAATTGAGGTTTGAATATTTTGGACTATGAGATGTCTTATTATTGTGTTGTTATGAAGTGATAACAGTTTATGCAGCCAAACGACAATGCGTAAAATTTGACAGCAGTGAATAAAAATTGCAAATAGAAACACGTCCGATGTCGCATTTGGGATAGGTGCAGAGTTAAATGAACTTAATCCGAAGGGGCTTACAAATCCAGGCTTATTCAAGAAGCTGTAACCAATTCTACCCTCACCGTTAGGAACTCGGAAATGGTAAGAGATACCAAGTCGCTTAAATGGTGGCAAAGTTGCGTGTTTAGGTATCTCGCAAAATGCCGCTTAGAAAGTTTCGAAATTCAAAGTACTTCCAGAGACAGGCGGAAAAAACTGAATTTTCCCAAAATCTTTTTAATATTTTCCTGACTTAATTTGTAACGGGAACTCAAAATAAATTGCACATTAACATAGCCTATTTTTCTCCTCCACTCCGCATTTAAGGCAAGGCACTGGCACGTCAGTGAGTAAGTGGACTGTTCGTCAGGCATTACACGATGTGAATAATATGCCAGCTGTAGAGAAGAAAAAGAAACCTCTCCTTACAAAAATATTAATGCTAGAAAAGAATTTGTAAAACAATATATAAATTGGACTGAAAGTGATTGGATTAGGGTTATTTGGTCCGATGAGACTAAAATTAATAGAAACAGCACAGATGGGCGAAAATGATTTTGAGAGAAAAAAGGCAAACCTTTACAAGCGAAGGATTTTATACAAACAGTGAAACATGTTGGTGGTAATATAAAACTTTGGGGCTGCATAACAGATTATGGTGTGGGACCCGTATACAAAGTCGATGGAAATATGGATGGAGAAATGTATCTCAACATTCTTAACATTTGATGGAAGCTTTTGAAAATATGCCATATCCTGTGACAAGTATTATTTCAATAGGACAACGCCCCAGCATATATCAAAAATAGTGAAAAATTTACTTTTTAAGCAAGAGTTTCAAGTCCTTCCGTGGCCATCTCGGAGACCTGACATCAAACCCATAGAGAATTTATGGGCATATTTGAAAAGCATGCTATTAAATGAATATCAGGCACCACCATCGAACTTAAACATTCTATTGGAACGGGTACAAGAACAGTGGTTCACCCAACTACTGTGAAAAACTCGTTAAAAGTTTGATTGAACAGGTTACATGCGGTTAAAAAACCAAAAAGTCTTTGGACAAAGTATTAAAAATATGTTTTTATTATATTTTCTAACTGGTGCAAAAGGGAACTAATTATAGTTGAAATAATTATGTATTAAAATTACTATACGAACTTATTACAGTTCCTTAATTAAAGTTATAATAAATAAGGTTTTCAAATATAATTGTTTTTATTATGTAGTAGTTAATCCCAGCTTTTCACGCCTATTTTTATTAAAAGATAAGGTACTGACTCAGTTTTGCACCTAACTGTATATTCAGTGACATTAGAAGTGTTACACCCAGAAAAAAATAATTTATTTAACTTGATTTTTTTGGCAATGAGCTAGTCTTACATCAAGAATGAAATGATAACATTCTCATGAAATTTTATTGACAAGAAATAAGAAAAAAATAATGATGTGTTGGGCGACCGTCCAGCTGAATATACTCCTGTATATAGTACGTCTAGGCATCGATAAAATGAGATGACCGATGTCTGGCCCTCATTCCAAGCAACTCAAAATTAGTGGATTAGCTGTGGCAGAGTCTGGCGGATGGTGCATTCCACACATGTTCGGTGGAATTTAAATCCGCTGAACGTGCGTTGTCTTGTTGAAAAAGGATGTGTGGACGGCACTCTAGATACGGCAGTAAAGTGGTTTGTAGGACATCATCAACATAACAGACATCAGCCTTGAACAAAGAGAAGGGGTGATCGGCTACCATAGACAATAGCCCCCCAAACAATTAGTCCAACAGTCCTGTGTACATGCCTCTCAACGGCAAATCCAATATCACACCGTTCTCCACTGCGGCGTCTTCCCCTTTCACGACCATCGCAAACCTAGACAGAATCGCGATTCGTTGCAGGAGATGGCATTATGCCATTATGCCTCCCAATGTTGCCGATCTCTGCTCCAGTTCAAAAGTTGACGACAGTGGTCCCCAGTCAGAGGAAGCACTAACCGTGGACGGTATGAAAAAAGTCCAAAGGCTGGAATGCGGCGATAGAGTGTACGCATAGTAACAGGTCTATCTTCTCCGAACAATTGGTCAGCGATCCGACTTGTCTGAAGCGCCTATCTTGTCGCTCTGTTGTACGCCTCTGTGGACCAGTTGGCCTTCGTGTTCCTGTACCTTCTTCTCTGCACATACGCATTGTCGTAATTGCGCTACAATTAACACGGCAGGTAATTTCGGGATATGACAAACCAACATTTCGCTAGGCAATAATTCTACCCATGTCAAAGTTGCTAACATGGTGATAATTTGGATGCCTTCGAACTCGAGGCATTTTGTTATGACTAGTAAATGAAAGGGCAATAACTAAAAATATTTGTACTACTCAGCTCTCAGAAATTGCTTTCTTCACAAAAACTAAGAGATAACATTTTAACAAAGGTAAACAAAAACAAAGATA